GAGGGAAAGCCCCCCCCCCCCCAGAGCTTGTGCTGAAAATGTAACTAGTGCAAAGAAACAAAGTATCAGCGACGCGACTCAACTACATTGTTGCAAGTGAACTAATACGGCTACAATTGACTTAAAGCGTTGGCTAGCAAACCGTGCGCCGCTCGCTCCTAGGGCGGCGACACGAGTCGCGTGCGAACAACAACTGCGACAATCCGCCTTACCTTGACTCGCTCCCAGGCAGCAGGAAACAGCACTGGAGTGACTGTGTGTCTGAGTCTGTCTCTAGATCTCAGCCCTGCCCCAAAAGAGAGAGAGAAAAAAAAAAAAGCCATGATGACATCAGCTCTAATCAAAGAAAAAAGGGTGTGTGAGTGAGTGAGTGTGTGTGTGTGCGCACAATCCTCCTCCCTGTGATTCCAGGCCTGCTGCCTGCAAGACTCATTAAATGTCACACAACCCGATAAAATATCCTAGCACGCACTTTTCACGCCTCCGTCCCGTCCGTGAGATCGCATGCGGACGGCAGATGTGCACGCGTAGCATGTTGTGTTTTATCCTTTTATGTTGTAAACGACGTGTAAACATGTTTACACTGTTTCTTCATATGTTTTTAGATATTTATAGAATCTCATGTTTGCAGCTGACGCAATTTGTAAACATTTTTATGTTACATAGTTAGTCAGGTTGAAAGAAGACGCAAGTCCGTCGAGTTCCACCTAAGCTTACATTGTTTCTTTTATGTTTTTATATATTTATAGAATCTCATGTTTGCAGCTGACGCAATTTGTAAACCTTTTTATGTTACAGAGTTACATAGTTAGTCAGGTTGAAAGAAGACGCAAGTCCGTCGAGTTCCACCTAAGCTTACATTGTTTCTTTTATGTTTTTATATATTTATAAATTCTTATTTGTAGCCTTAAAATCTTGCGATTCTTGATGTTTATGTTGTTACTTTTATGCATCTTTTATACCTTTTTAGGATCCTGTCATTGGCAGCTTTTGGGCGCGACCGTTTAAGTATAACGAAAGCCCAAACGTTTTGCTTTGTGAGTAGGGTAGGGATCGGTCACAGCTGAACCCCCGGGCAGATATAAAAGACACCGATTAATTCAGCTCTGTAATCATTACGGGTTTTTTCACACCAGATGCAGTGCGTTGTGGCCGGCTCACTTTTTTGTGGGGCAGGAGGGAGCGTGGCGGGCCATTGAAGTGAATGGCACCGTAGCCACGCCCTCTGACCGCAATGCGATCGGCCGCACGGGATGGCAAGGCACATTGTGCCTGCGGTCCGGTGCGATCAAAATAGCGCTTGCAGCATTTTGATTGCACCCGGACCACAGGCACAATGTGCCTTGCCATCCCGTGCGGCCGGAGGGCGTGGCTACAGTGCCATTCACTTCAATTAATTCAGCTCTGAAATCATTACGGGTTCGTTCACACCAGATGCAGTGCGTCGTGGCCCAATTCTGGCCGGAACGCACTGCATCGCATTGCGGCCGGCCCACTTTTTTGTGGGGTAGGAGGGGGCGTGGTGGGTCATTGAGTGAATGGCACTATAGCCACGGCATCTGACCACAATGCGATCGGCCGCATGGGATCGCAAGGCACATTGTGCCTGTGGTCCGGTCCGGTGCGATCAAAATGCTGCAAGAAGCAGAATTATTATTATTATACAGGATTTATATAGCGCCAACAGTTTGCGCAGCACTGTACAATATAAGGAAGACATTACAATCACAATACAATTCAAGACAATATGGTAAGGGGGGCCCTGCCCCTGAGGGCTTACAATCTAAAAGAATGACTCTGCTTCCTCTTGATTGGAGGAGAGAGTAGCGTAATAGAGAGATGAGCTCATCACTGTGCTGCTTCTCCTTTCCCTGTCCAGTCACGGGTTGGGGGCATGTCCGGGATGACCTGGGCTCATGGGAAGTAGGTTGAACTCGACGGACTTGTGTCTTTTTTTCAACCCGACTAACTATGTAACTAGGAAGTAGGTTGAATGACGCTGGCCATCAGACGTAGGACTTCTAGTAAAAGTCAAGTCCAGCAAACCGTAGTGTAAGGGAAATCTCTGGATTGAAGGTGAATATTGCAGCAAAAACTGCTTTTGATGATTTATCTTGTAATGGGCATTTTATTTTCATCTTGTTTTTGGTAGTAGATCTGTCTTTAGCTGGATAGAGTAGGGGAGGATTAGGACCTCCGTGACACTCTTTATTGCTGTGTCCTTATCAGGGAGTGGAACCCAAGGAAACCCAAAATTTAGCCTTCCAAGTAGGTCCCCCTCCAAAAAGATGAAATGCTTGTTTTTGTCTAGGGGTAGAGGAATAAGCAGTAATACTCACCTTATTCCTTACCTCTTGTAGGTTTCCCCTCCAACACTCAACCCATCCCGTCCTCTCTAACGTCGTTATGTGGTCAGTGGAGAAATGCCCCCTTACATTGGGGGTTTATTGTAGAAATGCCCCCTTACGTTGGATGTTGAGTGAAGAAAGTCCCTATTTGTTGGTGGTCAGTGGAGACACGTCCTTCACATAGCGGTTTGATGGAGAAATGCACCTTACTTTGGTCGTTAGTGGAGAAATGTCCTCTTACATTGTTGGTCAGTGGAAAAGTGCCCCTTATATTGGAGGTCAGTGGCAGAGGTGCCCACTTACAATGGTGGTCAGTAGAGATGTGCCCCTTATATTGAAGGTCAGTGGCAAAGGTGCCACTTATATTGGTGGTCAGTGGAGATGTGCCCCTTATATTGAAGGTCAGTGGTAGAGGAGCCCTCTTACATTGGTGGTCAGTAGAGATGTGCCCCTTATATTGGAGGTCAGTGGTACAGGTGTCCATATAGGTTGGTGGTCAGTGGAGAAATGTCCTCTTGCATTGGTGGTCAGTAGAGATGTGCCCCTTATATTGGAGGTCAGTGGTAGAGGTGCCCACTTACAATGGTGGTCAGTAGAGATGTGCCCCTTATATTGAAGGTCAGTGGGAAAGGTGCCAGTTATATTGGTGATCAGTGGTGATGTGCCCCTTATATTGAAGGTCAGTGGTAGAGGAGCCCTCTTACATTGGTGGGCAGTGGTAGAAGAGCCCTCTTACATTGGTGGTCAGTGGAGAAATGTCCTGTTAAATTGAAGGTCAGTGTGAGAGGAGCACTTTTACATTGGTGGTCACTAGAGATGTGCCCGTTATATTGGAGGTCAGTGGTAGAGGTGCCACTTATATTGGTGGTCTGTACATCTGCTGTGCCCATTATGAGGAGCTCCCACCATCCCTGTGCTGAGTTCCCGGGTCAGAGGTGGGACAGGTGCCCCTTATATAGCTGGTGTGTACACCTGCTGTGTCCATTATGAGGGGCTCCCACCATCTCTGACCTGGGAGGTGTGCCCCTTATATTGGAGGTCAGTCTTACATTGGTCCCATCTGCTGTGCCCATTATAGAGATGTGCCCCTTATATTGAAGGTCAGTGGGAAAGGTGCCAGTTATATTGGTGGTCAGTGGTGATGTGCACCTTATATTGAAGGTCAGTGGTAGAGGAGCCCTCTTACATTGGTGGGCAGTGGTAGAGGAGCCCTCTTACATTGGTGGTCAGTGGAGAAATGTCCTGTTACATTGAAGGTCAGTGGGAGAGGAGCCCTTTTACATTGGTGGTCAGTAGAGATGTGCCCCATATAATAAAGGTCACTTTCGAGAGGAGCCCCTTATAGTGGTCGTCAGTAGAGATGTGCCCCTTATATTGGAGGTCAGTGGGAGAGGTGCCCCTTATATTGGTCGTCAGTAGAGATGTGCCCCTTATATTGGAGGTCAGTGGTCAGTGGTCAGTGGACAAATATCCTCCTTCAGACTTTCCACCCCACAACTGGTCCCATGCTCCAATGTCATTATGCACAATGACTAGTGGTCAGCAGTTGGTTGTATGCTTATTACAAAGTCCCCATACACCGTCCCTTTCTTTCAAGCCCTGATGAAGGGGGATTAAGCTTGTGGCAGTGGCAGTGCTTGCCGGATGGTGTTGACTTGTATGGCTAGCCCGGGGCAATATTATTGCACTTCGGCCCCTAAGGCCCGTCAGCGTGGTGCACTGGCACTTATTATTTATGCACGCTTGAGCACCTTTTTAGATTGGATTGACCTCACAGAAGACGGAGGGTCTGGGTACCTTCGGGGCCCCTTTACTGACGTTGGGGAGGAGATTCTGTGACCCTCACAGGGGCCCCCTGTCTCCTCCCATCCGGGGGGGTCTCTCTTCGGGAGAGCCCCCCAACCTAGTACTCAGTGGACCTGTTTCAGCATGTCCCAGAGGATTGGGGTCCCCCGGCCTTCGGGTAGGTGGACCAAAGTTTTCCTAGCCCCTGTCAGGAGCCTTGCGCCCCGGGGGGTGGGGGGGGGGTCAGGAAATCGTGGCCCTTTCTCTTCGGAGGAGGTCAAAAAGCACCCTCGTGCACTTTAAAAAAAATTTGTAGTGGGGTTGGGGCAGATTTTATATTGGCGGCAGTGCTACTAGTTATGAGCTGCAGAGAGGAGAACTTCGGAATCGGGCTGAGATCTTCTAAATCTCTTTTATGAAATACTCCGGTGCTCCTCGTTGGCTGTGTCTGGCTGTGCTACACGGGTGATAAATCTCCCCTCCCCGCTATCTGCAGGGAGCCATTACTTGCACACAGGCAATTTCCGTTTCATAACAAAAAGGTAACTTACTTCCCCTTTCTTGTGAAACAATGTGAAACGGACACATTTTATCTCCCCGCTAAGGAAGATATATCACAGCTTGACATATCACCGCGGCTTAAACCGCCGGGTACATGTGCAGATTGTAAAATTTAGGCAAAAAAAGAAATTGGATGATGCAATGGAGGAGGAAAGGGGCAAGGACACCTAGTTTGTGAGCATATCAGGCCCTAGGTTGGAATGTTGTTGCCCCCCCCCCCCCAACCCCGAGTCAGAGAGGGAAAAGAGGGTTCTTC